GGAATTTTGTACAATAACTTGACCCCCGCAACAGGCTAATACACAACGAATGCGGTTGAAAATGCGCTCTAATACCAGAGAGGGTGAAGATGGCCAGCAACCCATTACTAGTGATTGCTATGAAGGTTCAAACCCGAATGATTTCTTTCCTCTTGATGTTTACTTATATAGCTACTCTCGAATCTGGGTGAGAGTGGGCACGAGAAAATTAAATAATAGTTCCCATTCCTCCTCGGTTAATTCTAGCTGATCCGCGAAGTTCAAAAATACCACCAATCGTCCCCAGTTTACTTTTGAAAAGACCTCAGAGTGGAGTTTTTTCAACTTTTCTAGACTCGAACCCGGCATATCTTTAACTTTTTGTTGAAGCATTTCCATTTCACTTGAAGACACTTTATATGTTTTGGCTTGTGCGCGATACAGAGAAAAGACGACTCGAAGCAAAGACAGAGAAAGCCCCATCTTGACTAAGACAGAGACAAACACTCACTGACTCACAATTTAGATATAAACAAATTTTATTACTTTTAGAAACAAAGCTTATTTTGAATGTCATTAATTATCAAATCAAGGTCCATTGGTTGTTCATCTTTCCTCACAACTCTCTCAGGGCATTGCACTTCAACTTGGCTATCAATGTCCACAGCACTGGGATCTTTGCACTTCAGTCCACAAGGTCCGTAGTAAATAGCATACAGAATTCGATCTTCTAACTCACCATAATCTTGGAGTTCCAAGGAAGTGAGATAGATGTTAGTCCAAGGCAGCTTTGGTAATTCGGTCACGTACGCTTCCCACGTTTTGCCAAGTTTGAAACCAAGAGCACTGCACACACTTTCAGCCGTTTTTAAGATAACATTGAGGTCAATTTGTTCCACCACTTCATCATGGTAATACATCCATGCGTCATCATTATCCATCATCAGGCACGAATATTGGTTTTGACTTGGGTGTTAAATGGCACAACCGTGGCAGCGATTCAGCTTTTGTTCTTGGATGAGTTTGTCAACCGTAGCCGCATAAGTCAGTTGGAACACATGACCGATAAGGCTAGCTACCCGTTGACGTTCGACTTTTTCCACTTAATCTACTGTCAGAAGCGGTGTAGCGCTCGATTCGACTTGCATGTTTGGAGTAATGTTTTAAAAAATATTGGTGATAATAAGACTTTTTCCTTAGCAAAGCGATTGCAAGAATAAAATGCTGAACGGAGAGCGCGCTTTTATGTTGAACACATAATAGATTGTTTACTATCCAATCAGGGTTAAAAGAGCCCGGGCAAGTCTAGGCAAGCCTATTGTTCCTATTGTAGTAGAGTGACGCTCATTAGTAAACCTAATCCAAATTAGTATGCAGGAAGACACTTCTTTCCGAGGTGACGTCATAGGCTTATGCATATCAATTAAGGGAAGGCATACGGAAGGCAAGGGAAGGCACCAACGGGCCTATCTTCATCCCTGTATAACTACTGGTCTATCACAGATTGCCCTGATTTTTCCGCTGGAAGATAACTATCCTACCCCATAAAAAAATATCACATTTATTTGGACGAACTCAATTTTTTCTCTATATTACAAGAAGATTTTCTCGGTCACCTAAAACTGCCCAGTTTGCCGTCGGAAGTGGTGCGATTTTGTGAAACTTTAGGGCTCTTTCAAACCTGGCTTACAAAGCCGAATAAGCTGATTATTCTACACACAAAAGTTTTAACTCTGATTAATAGTTTCAAGGTTCAATGGTTGCGTTGCGTTGGAAAGTTGGCTGAGATATGATTTTTATAAAATGACCTATAATTTGCTCAGAAGGAAAAATAATTTGCATAACTAGAGCTGAACGGTAATTTCGCAAAAGTGGCACCTGACCTTGACTCAACTCTGTGATAAAACAGAAGTACTAACAGCAGTCTACTACTTAATGCAATAAAATTTGTGGGCACTCTTCTTTGCGTGCTGTACAAAGTTTCGTTAATGTTTCAAAATTCGCCATTTTGACAGCAAAGCTGGAATTGTAACGGTCTGCATCGGATCGACTAATTTCCACAGCTTTAACGCTTCTAGTTATCACCAAATGTCATTAGACCCTTTAAATGTTGGATGTTCGACAACATGTGAAGAAAACTTGGTAATCGCTTTTTCTTCGGTTTTTTTCGACGATGAACATGACTTCATATTCCGTATTAGCCTTATATGCGTCGTTTCCACAAATTAACAGGAAATATAATACTTGTATTTCATATTTTTAAGGGAAACATATCTCTTCTTTCCACGAAAAAACACGTACGATATATGAATTACAATCCCCTTAGGTCTGTTTCTTTTACGCGAATTAAAACAATTTAATTACTGTGGCCCGTCACGCATTCCCCCAGAGTGATCGTGTATCGATCAGTTCTTTTATCTTATTACCGTATATGTTTTTTGAAGTGATAGTTATTGATAATCATACAATTTAATCACTGTTAATTCCGATTCTTCACTGGGTGGGAAAAACCGTGCTGTTGTATTTATTCATTCTACGACCGTTTTAACTGAGTCAGTATCCCCGGGCGCCACAAGAATAGGGTTTATTATGACAGCCCATGGTGAATGCACGACAAATAGCTACAACGTAGTCACTTGGACACGGCAACTCTTATTCACGAGCACTAGCACGATATTTTCAATTACAGAATGACAATTAATCTTTGGGAAATCGCTCGCAAACAACTTCAGAAATACCGTGCGACACCACAGGGCCACACCTGCAAAGTCGTTTAAGCGGGATACACAAATCGGCTATATAAAGTTGAACTGAACATTCTGGTAATTTTAAGTCTCACACATTTTTACAAAACGAGATACATCTTTTAAACACTGTTTAAGTTAAAACAAAACTATTTGTATGCAGGAATGAAATACTTTTCATTCACGTCACCAGGACATTCCTCTTAGAAAATGGAAGGGGCTGGAAAGCCCTGGAAACGAAGTTGAATCATGACTCCGTGAAGAAAGTTCTTTCTTTTTTCCCATTTATAATGCTCTTCAAACAATCATCAGGAAACTATCATTTACAACACACGGATTAACCTTTATGTATAGTATTTTAAATGTAAGAATTGATTAGGGCAAGATACACGGCTGGCAAAAAATAGAAATAAATAAACTATCTTTGCAAGCTCGAATAAACTGGAAACAAACATCAGAAAACATCGCAAGGTAAAATATTAAATAGAGAAATTAGAATATCTCTGTACGTTTAGACATTTTTTGGATGAGACAAAAAAGAATGATACTTACATGATGGAGCAAAACTTTGACTTATTTCGCTGGCTATCTGGAAATTCACGACATGTCTTCCTGCCACAGAAGTTATTTTGCCAGTATGATCCAGAGTATGACCGGGGTATTGACAAGACCTTAGGCTCGATTTCCGCCGTCTCCCAGTCCCTTGGGGGCTCATTTTTCAGCACAGTGGCTTACAACCGAGCCTAACAAGACCATGGCGCTCGCAAAAACCTGCCAAGTAGGTGTCTGTGCCTTGGGCAGATTGTCATTTTAGTGTTAGCCTGTGTACACACCTCCCCCCACCCCCTCGGAGAGGGGGCCCCTTCTCCGATTTTTCCTAAGGAGAGGGGCTTTGTACACAGGCTATTTAGTGTCTGTGCCTTGGGGAGATTGTCATTTCAGTTTCGAATACCTACCAAACCTCGAATATGTACTCTCTCTAAAATGAGTTCATTCAGTCATCGTTGACTTCGCTACACTTAGACAAGTGACAGTTGGCTAAGTGCGACGTAATATCATTCATGCACTCTGCGACCAACACATTTCCCTCCACACCCCTACTGGGACCACACTGTCTTGACGATCTCGCGGAAAGAACACCTTGATCATATAAAATACCCGCATAAGCCATTTTTCACAATTGATCTCTTCCGCGATTTCATTGACATTATATTTGAAATTGGCACCTGTTGTATTAAAATTCAATTAGATTGAAACCAAAACAAGATCATTTTGGGAATACGGGATGTTATACCCTTACAAAAACTAGAAACTGAGATAATCCCTTTTGCGTGCATTCACTGAAAAAAGAAACTATATTTCCCGTATCATTCTTCTACCAATAAACGCTTTAAAGATCTTTGAATGAAACTGAAATTTACAGCTAATTCACCTTTTGCAAAGCTATACATGGATTTTCTCTTAAAAAACTTTTCAAGGTAGAAAAAGTGTGGGGCATTTTTTTTATCATAGTGACATGTACAAAGATCTGATAAGCATCTTTTTCTGTGGAAAGGAGAGTTATTTTTCCCCATAGAAATGTGAAATGTAAGGATTATGTTTCATGTCAAGTTGTTCAAACGACTCATCTGAGGCTAATTTGCATATGGATAATAAAGTCACGTTCATCGTCGACACGAAAAAAAACCCAAGAAAAAGCGACTTCCAAGTTTCTCCACATGTTTTCAAAAGTCCAACATTTAAAGGGTCTAATGACAGTTAGTGATAACTAGAAAAGTTAAAGCTGTGGAAATTAGTCGACCAGATGCGAACCGTTACATTTCTAGCTTTGCTGTCAAAATGGCGAATTTTGGAACATTAACGGAACTTTGTACAGCACGCAAAGAAGAGTGCCCACAAATTTTATTGCATTAAGAAGTAGACTGGTCATAGTACTTCTATTTTATCATAGACTTGAGTCTGGGTCAGGTGCCACTTTTGCAAAATTACCGTATCTAGGAAACGCCAATGAATTATCTCAGATCTCAAGGCCTGAGACAGAGGAACCAGTCCATTGGACGAAGCTGTCGTGATTGCATGACTCATCTCCCTTATAAACAACTTCGAAGTTGGCAGAGCCAACGACAAAGAAATTCATTTACCCTGGAACCGTTGCAGACTCTTAACATCCACGCATTTCTTACAAGCCAGTATCTTCTCTTGCAAGAACGCCCAGGCTACAATCTTGCTCTGCGGTATGATGGAGGATTGCTTTTCAGAATCCACCAGAATGCCCAAGTACTCTAAGGAAGTAGTGGGATACAGAACTGACTTGCTAATCCCAATCGTATACCCAAGCTCAACAAGCACTGAGTGGACAATAAATATGGCAGCCCTGGCAGCCTTAACTCCGAATTCTTTCTGCCTATCGTAATAGAGGATCGACCACGGCCCAGATTTCGTTAGCGGTTCCCCATTAAGGCGGTCATCAATGTAGAGCGAGCAAAGTATACCCTGTTCTCTAAGAAAACCAGATACTGCCAGACCTGTTGTGTGGTAGACATACGGAGACATTTCCACCCGAAGGGAAGAGTAGTGCACACAAACCATAAGCCACCCATTCAAAACCAAAATATGCCTGCAAGCTCTCCGATAGCAAAATATGGTCGTACCCTGACTTGTCGTTACATTTGGTCGTAAACGAGCCTTTCTAGACGAATCTCAGAACATCAGAGAATCTATCCAGGGCAAAAGCCGAGGCTTGGTAGGTTCCACTGTCAAGGGCAAGACCACATGTGGAGGAGCAGACACACCCACTTTCCCCCAGACTCTAACGGCCCCAGTGACTAGACGTTTCTTAATTTCCAAGATACAAACTCCGAGAACCTCTTGCAAGACGCGTGATTTACAAAATGTCTCGCGAGCGGCCGATCCGAACAATGATGGACCCGTTTATACAAGCCAGGGAATGGTTGACTGAAGTGCAAAATATCTACTTTTTATAGCGAATCCAACCGAGAATCTCCTGTGCTAAAGGGTGATGGTTTAAGATCAATTCTCAAGCATTCGGATCCCTCAACCTTAACGTCCTTAACTGTGGCTCAACACCCGACATCAACATATCTTTCAAATACACCTTTAACTCTTTTTTCCCTCCCAGTCGGAAACTCCATCTACACTAACCCAAGATTGGGATATTCTGGATTGCAAAGACATGATCTGCTCGACAAACGTCTCAAACCCCTTCCGTATTTCTGCTTTCCACTCCATAAATTTACAGTCTTATTTTCTTTAAGGGCGGGACCTAGGGGAGGGGAAACGGGAGAAATAATATGAGCCTCTTTAGCCACCATCTTAAAACTTCAGTAGACGATCCAAAGCACGATCCTTCGTGAACATTGGCGACTTGACCAAGTGTCTGAATTCCTCCAAACACGAGTCCACCGTAGCCTTTTGACCATCCTTGAGCCTTCGAAGGCGTGTCATTGCTGCGTTCATATTTTGAGCATCCTTAAACAGGGACAGCGTAAAAAACTGATGTCAAACACAAAATAAAAACAAACCACATTGTCATGCCTTGACCGAGGCCTCTGACAATTTTGTCCGCAACAAGCCAGTAAGAAATTGACATAAGAACAAGTTGCAAAATCCAAACTATTGTTTACATGGAGGTGGGGGACCCTGGGTAGGTGAGGTAACCCGCTTAGGTGGGGTAACCCGCCTCTCCATATAATCTCTCATTTTTATTTGATCATGTTTACATGATAGGTGGGGTGACCCGCCCTGGCGGGTTACCCGGTCTGTAACCCTCTCAGCCGGGGTAAAAATTTGCCATGTAAACGTGTCAAGGTGAGGTAACCCGCCTGGCCGGGGTCGTGTTACGTCCTTCGCGCGAAATTCAAATCATAACAATATGGCGGCCCAAGGCAAGAGAAAAGCCCTCGTTCTCTCGGAGAACGAAGAGCAGGCTACAACCAGCTCTACAACTTCAAAGAAGTCCAAAAAACAAGGTTTGGACATTTGAGCAAGTGGAACTTGTTTTGAGGTACATAAAAGATTACAAAACGAAGTGCGACTTCAGTGGAATAGATTTCGAAGCGGACCTAGCTTCCGTGTATACAGAAATACGTCGTTGTATGGCCGTCGATTTCCCAGACGATTTTGGCCCTGAAGTTCTTACTGAGCCCACGAAATCACTTAAAGCGATGAGTGAGGAAGAACATGAAGCTTTCAAGAGACAACGCGATACTGAACGTTCTCAGACCAAGAAAGGTTACGACAGAGTGAAAGAGAAGATAAGAAACGTCAGGCAAGATTTCCGCGCAGCAGTAAACAAGGGAACAGGAAGCGGTAGTGGAAAAATTGTGCAAGAAAATTTTGAGCTGTTGTCTGAAATATGGGGTGGCTCGCCCGCTACAACGTCCTTGTCCTTTGGAATTGATGCAGATTTATTAGGAACAGACAAAAGTTTGGAAATGGATGTTGAAAGCCCTGAAGGTATTTATTTCAGCCTTGCTTTATTGAACTTTTTCAATTAGGAAGAACGATTGACCCCCTCCCCCTCCCTTGTTGAGGACTTGCCTTTTCGTCTTAACCCTGAAGAAATTGAATTCCTCCTGAAGACTTCCACAGATTATGAAAATGCCACTTAAGAATTTCAGGACAAGGTGAGTTTCATTATAAAAATTGTATGAATTCAATCACAATTTTGTTAAAAATTCAAGCGTCACGCCAAAGAATTCCCATTTTCTTTCTCTACCCATAGAAAATCCCTGTTTTGATGAGTAATTTGCTGCTGATTATGAATGGGACTGAAGGGGGTAAAAAAGAAATAATGCCTCTTTCAGTTGTTTATTTATTGAAAGGAATAGAAATGATATTTTTAAAACCACAAAACATAATTCTTCAAAGCTATTTTACCTCCTGTTTAACTTCTGTCTAATTATGTATAAAAACATATTGGTTTCAGATTCATCATCTCCAGATTCACCTAATACTGCCATTGAAGGTCAGACCAAAGAAACTTTTGAACCATCAACTGATCAGAAACCTAAAGGTGTTACTGTCTCCAACATCCCAAAGTTAGTTGACAATAAGAGAAGGCACATGGAGAAAACCCTATCCCAGGCACAACGAGACCAGCTGTTGATGAATACTGCCAAAGAAGACCTTCTTATGAAGAGAGAAATGGTGAAGTGTTTTGAACAATCAAACAAATCATTGGAAGACTCCATATCCAAAATGACCACCTGTTTAGCATCTCTTGGAGATGGTATTGCCAAAGGGATGCAAATGATGGCAATGGCCTTGTCTGCTCAACCCCCTAACAGTACTGCACATCCTGCACCTCGTGCACCTCAAGTATACCCTCATATTAATACATACAATGGGTTTCCAACACCATTTGCATATGAAAACATTTACACTCTAAACAGAAGTTATGTACCTCCCCATTTTACCAGAATTGACAGTGAAGAAGTGGCACAGTCCACCAATGTACGCGGACCAATTTTGGGTGCCAGTCAGACACCAAAAGAAGATAACAGCCGTGGGTGTTAGATACAATTTACAAATTGAAAAAATCCAGATAATTAAGAAAAAAAAAAGATTTTTGGTGTTACAGTTCCCTTGAAAGGATTTGATATTGTGTCAGGATATCCTGATATTCTATGATTCATTATTTTGTATCTCTGAATCGATACATTATATCCCTCTGATTGAAAATATTTTAAATATAATGGTTGTTATATTGTTACTAAGATGTATTAGTGTCAGCTTTTAGGTAATTTAGCTTCTTAAAACAAAAACATAATCTAAACAATACAAAAGCACAAGAAGTGCTTTTATGTAAGGTAATTTACTATTATTAACATGAAAAAAGCCCTTTCAAAAAACAAGGCAACAATGATAGCAAAAGAGTTAAAGCTATTATACAATATTATGTACTGTATGTTTTGAGTCCAATGATTTTTGGTTTGAATTTAACCCAAGACAAAGGAAAACCAATTCTGAAACAGCAGCATTCCAGTTTATTCTTTCAAGTGGGCACCATGTAGACCATTTGAGGGGTCACCCACACCATATGCTAATTTTTTGGCTTTCGCTTAACTTAGCATTATTTTATATTTGTTGAGTCATTGACCCTGGATGGACTCATCTCTTATCTGGAACACTATATGTTTGTAAATATTCAAACCAAAAGAAAATTGGAACCAAAACTGCAGCAACAATAATTATAGTCTAAATTACATGTAATAGGTTGCTGTTTATGTGATCATGATGAGTTTCTCGCAGAAACAAAGCTTCTCTTGTAACACTGAAAGATAGGCTATGCTGGAAATACTCAGCAAACATAATAAAATCAGTGAGGAATGTGTTCCTTGTAGTAGGATGTGATGTTCCTCCTCACGTAAGCTCCTTCGGCACTGTTAAATGAATATAGCCGGTCTGGTGTATTTTCAGGCTGTGCAAGCCTATCACGTTCCATTTGTTGTGCAAGAGCATCATCCTCTACATTCATGCCCCGCAATTCACAAATATTGTGAAGTACACAACAGGCATAAATTAAGGTTGGGATAAACTTCAATCCAATGTCAATTCTTTTGTTCAATATTTGCCATCTTGCTTTGAGACGGCCATAAGCACACTCTATTGGGTTTCTAGCACTCCGAAGCATATTATTAAAAATGACCTCTTCATTTGAACGAGCATTCGGAAATTCCTTCATGCAGTAAGGAAGCAGTGGGTAAGCAGGATCACCCAGTAGTGTAACGGGTATCTTTTCATGGCCTGGTAGGAGTTCTTTATAGCACATGGGAACTCTTTCCTCTCTTAACAGTCTGTTTATTCTTGAATTAACAAAGACTCTTCCATCGTGTACACTTCCTGGCCATTTGATGTCAACATCTAAAAATAGCCCTTTCCAGTCAGAAACTCCTTGAATATTCAATGTGTACTTCAGCTTATTGCTAAAATAGTCATGGGGATTCTCACACGGTTGTGCAATGGGAATATGTGTGCCATCCACGCATCCAAAAACCTGTGGGAATCCATATTTATTTTCCATGCCATCAATCAGATCCTTCATTTCGTGATCGGTAGTGGGCAATTTTATGTACTTTGCACCTAAAACATTAGTGAGGGAGCCTTGATCCTTTAAAAAGTATAGGGTCATAGCAAGCTGTTTTTCAACTGAGAGTACATCAAGTCCTCTTGGCTCTGGCCAGGTTCAAGAAAGGGTCGCAATTCGTCTGCTGAAGACATAAACACTGCATGATCCATTCTTAAGTTCTCTTTCCACTCCCTTTCCGGCAACATTCCGTTGTACAAGTTAAGCCGCCACTGTTCTGTCCTCCCTGAATTCCTCCATACTCTACCTCGACGACGTACAATTCTTCTTCGAATGCGCCGAAGTCTTGCTGCAGCAGCATTGTACTGTTGCATTGATTGAACAATCATCTGCCTTTGGCGGAGCCTTTGTGTAATCAACAGTGCCAGCAGATAGCCGCCGCACTGAAAGGCTGCAGCAAGAGCAGCAAGTGATAGAAAGAGAGCACTCACCGCCAACAATCGTGGTTTGTTTACATGCTTAGCGACCACTCAATAGAACGCGCACCTCAGAGTGACGGGGTGTTAAGATTGCATGTAAAGGAGGGTTAATTTTTTACCCCACCTAAGCGGTTTACCTCACCTACCTGGGGTCCCCCACCTCCATGTAAACAGGCCCTAACATATGCAAGACAAATCATAGAATGAAAATAGTTTAAAACACGCTCGTTTGTTTGAGTCTCACCTCTTTCTATTTCTTTTAGTCAAAATTACTAAAAACCTGTGAACCATAAACAAGATATACTAAACATGATCCAAACGAAAACGACGCAAAACAGTGTCAACGTCTATGGCGCGGCAAATAGGACAAATCGAAGTGTGTGGCCTTTAAAGTGAATAGCAACACCTTTAAAGTGACGAGGTATTCCGTTAAAATGAATACCTACACCTTTAAAGTGAAGACCTACCCCTTTAAAGTGATGAGGCATTCCGTTAAAGTGAATACAAACACCTTTAAAGTGAGGACCTACACCTTTAAAGTGACGAGGTACATCTTGAAACTGAAGACCTACACTGCGTTGAAGTGAAGCTGAACGAAATGATCTCTAAAATAACAAGGAACATGTTCAAGTCAAAAAGTTTTGCTTTAAATTGACGAGGTACACCTTTGAAGAGACGAGGTGCACTTTTGAAGAGACGAGGTGCACCTTTAAGTGAGCATAGGCCTGCGGTTCAGAAAACAGCGGCTACCCATAATGGGCATGAATCAAGGACATGAGCGGATATCAAATATCCAATATGGCAGAAGTCGTTTCTCAGAGAATACCGAACGAATTGACTCGGCTGTATGCTGCTGGAAACGAAGTAGCTAACAGGGCGGTTGTCACATCTGATGATATACAGTATTTCATAAACTGCCTGGAACATTTTCATCGTCATCTTCTTCGATTAAGCGAAAGTGGTTTTGTAACGGCACATTCCGTGAGGATTTTGCAAGATGCTCTTAGCGGCCTTCGAGACAGCGGAATGCCTGAAGATTTAATTCCTGCACCGGATTCGAACATGCACCTGTATCGAGAAAAACCCCTAGGGAGACCTAAATACTTCCTTAGTAGGGATCAGTTAGAATTCCTGTTGTCTTTGGGATTCAACAAGACCCAGTTGTCAGAAATGCTGGGTATGTCTGCGCGTACCATTCAGCGTCGAATGGCAGAGTACGGCTTGTCAAGCAATAACTATTCTGACCTTTCAGAAGAAGAACTGGATCGTATGGTGACAGAAATTAAAGAGCAATTTCCTCGAGCTGGATATCGACAGGTTCTTGCAATTCTAAAATCCCATGGTGCTTTTGTGCGGGAACATGAATTAAGAGACAGCGTTCAACGATGTGATCCTTTGGGTACCTCCCTAAGATGGTTTGCCACAATTGAAAGGCGACAATACAGTGTCCGGGGGCCTTTAGAGCTATGGCATATGGATGGGAACCATAAGCTGATCAGGTGAATGTGCAGTACATTATATGACCTAAAATGCAGTTTTTCTCCGAGGCATTGCCAAGGTTTATAATCAAAGGCAACTGTTCTGTTCATGCTTTTTACTGACCGACCCTGATGCAAATACCAGAGAAAGTGAGGGAAAATAGGAGTCTTGATGGGAATATTTTCCAAGTTATCCCAAACTTGCTCCGTTGTTTGTATCAGGAGGTGACTATTTTCCAAACAAACAAAATGCAGAGAAATATCATACAGGTAGCCAAGTTTGCATACCCCATAGAAAACCCACTGACCTCGTGCATTTTTCAAACAAAACTTGGTAAGATTTTCTGAAGTTGCTGCACATACAAGAGAATTTAGACTAGAACACCAACAGGGTTAGGGGAAGCAGTCCATAGTGAAAGTTCGCTTCCCTCACCTTTTTATGGCGGATCAAAGACTTGTGTGAAAAAAAATTACATTATAATTTATTATCCATTTTCATAGGTGGCGAATGGTTCTGCATGGTGCAATTGATGGATACTCTCGTTTGGTTGTCTTTCTTTATTGTTCAAATAACAATCGTGCTGAAACAGTGCTATAGTTGTTTATGAAAGCAGTTACTGAGTTTTCCTTTCCATCTCGATTGCGGACTGATAAAGGTGGTGAGAACACAGCAGCTGCTTTGTACATGCTGCAACATCCTTTGAGGGGAACTGGACGAGGGAGTGTGATAGCTGGCAGTAGCACCCACAACCAAAGAATCGAGAGGCTGTGGAGGGATGTTTTTAGTGGTGTCTTGTGTTTGTATCAAACACTATTTTATCATCTTGAGGAATAAGGTGTTCTTGACCCACTAAATGAGGTTGATCTGCTTGCTCTTCACACAGTATTTTTACCCCATGTTAATCGTCACCTGGACATTTGGAAAGGAGGTTGGAACAATCATAGCATGAGAACTGCAGGAAGCCTTTCTCCTCTCCAGCAGTTTATCAGTGGAATGCTACAATTACGTGGTTCTGGTTTGGAAGTAGCCAAGGAAATGTTTTGTCAACTAGATGAGGCAAGTACATGTAACAAAGAATGTTGTCTATGTATTTAACAAGTACAGACTCTTCATAAACTTGAAATATGAAAACAGTATTTTTAGAGATGTTTTTATATTATTTGAATTATTATTCAACAGGAAGAAGTCTCCTCATATGGCATCGACTGGGATGGACCCATTCCCAATGAGTCTTCTCCCTCTGATGACTTTGAGCTAGTGGAAATTCCAAACATTGAAGTCAATGTTAGGGAAGAGCAACAGCAACAACTAAGTTTATTGGTTGATCCACTTAGTGAGAGCGATTGTTATGGCATTGATTTATATATTCAGGCACGTAACGTTCTGCACTCACTGACTTAATACAAGAACTGTATGCAATACTCCCACTGGGTGTAAACTTACACAATAAAGAAGGTATCACTAAATTGAGTAAACTGGTCTTAAAATGTAAATTTATCACCAGAGATGCTGATTGCTTAGTAAAAAGATATCCTGTGCATAGTATATGTTATGCATAGTTTAAATAGTTAAGGTCAGCACACATGAGGGGACTAGTCCCTGCCACAAGTCGCGGGGACAAGTCCCATTGTCTGAACTGGCCATTTTTGCTCCCTTCAAAATCTAGTCGCAGTGACCATCTTTGGTCCCTGCAACTAGTCCCACGAATTCAAGCCAGTTTGAATTTTTGGGACCAGTCCCCTCATGTGTGCTGACCTTAAAGCTAACTGAAAATTGCTTCAATAAGTAAACATGCGATGAAAGCAGTCATAGAAAGAGGATACAACAATCTAACTTTTAATGCACAGGAAAGAACATAAACAGCTATGATAACTCCTGAGATTGAAAACAAACTTATTACTTGACCCAACATCAACTTTATCTTTGTCTCCATGGTCAATATCTGTAACACAACGGTTTTTCACCAATGAAATACAGTCATTGGGTCAATAGCTGAACAAGAATAGGAAAATGTTCTATTACATGGCAATCAGGTATAAAAATACATGTATAATAGCCGAGATCTGAATCAAACTTCCAGCTGTGTCATCTCTTCTTGATGGACTTGAAATGTGAATAAAATTGTTATTATAATCATGAAATCATATTTTCTTTTTGTCTCAACTGGCAACAATATTTTTTTGGACTCAAAAAAACAACAACAACGCAAGGAGTGAACATTCAGTGGTACTCCTCACTTTGAATGCAACATGTTCCCCTAAGGTATGAATAATGCTCTTCAGTAAAACACAACTGAAAGTGCTTAGGAATATGACAACAGGAATCAGATTTTCAGAATCTACCATATCCTACAGCTCCTGATAGTAACGAAAGATTGCATGCTGCCTTGAACTCCTCATAGCAACTATGTGAGATTGGTAGTATCACTTTACGAAAACAACTGTCTGCCTCAAGAAGTTTCCTTCTGGTATCAGTCTAAAATGCAACTTCCAAATCCTCTTGTGGGTCAAGAACTGTTCTGCCAGTAATGAACATCACCAGTGAGTTACTTAGTGGGTATCCCGTGTTTTCATCTGCAAGGTTAACCCCCAAAACAAAGCGCATAAGAAAATTAATATTGAATTGTTGCCATGTCTCTCCAACCTTTTACTTTGAGATATGGTGGATATTGACTTCAATCAATATTGCTACATACAAATGACTCTTTTCACTTAATGTCAATGGCATTACTAGTGGACCATTTCTATTTCGTTTTTCTATTTAGAAATGCCATATAGGTGTTCAAAACACTGCCAGGGACTTTTTTAGGCAAACTGCTTATTTACATGTATATGGCAAGTACATGTGTAAAGGCAGACATGGTGAGGTTTCACTGCTTCCATGGGAATCATGTCACTTGATATACTTGTCCATGTTTCTAAAAACTTATTTTGACATTCCACATGTTCACATTCTAGCATCTAGCAGCTGTCTGCATTTGTGATTAGAATTCAGTCTCAAAACCATAACTCCAAATGTAACAAAAGAACTGAATGATTTTACCCTCAGATGGGAATAGTACAGTGCAAGCACATTACTCGCCTGTGCTTGAGCTTCACCAACAATTTCATGGATGGCATGTGCTTGAAGTAACTTGCTTTTCAGTATGTCCATGTCAACTGAAGCATCTTCCATTGAGGGAAATACAAATTTAGTTATGGAGGGATGCTTGCGAAGCAAATCACCCAGTCCAAGTGTGTTAAGACCTCGGAAGAATGAGTCAAGGGCAATTGTTCTCGTAACCAACACTTCGGCAACAAGGAGATCCTTGATAGCCTTCTCTTTGTTAACATCACTCAGTGGTACTGCATCTGTTAGTCCATGTCGGACCAGCAACTCCTCAACCTTATCTTTTGCTTCATCATCTACCTGATGCATAGCCTGTTCTTTTAAAACCTAAAGGACATGGTGAAGCAATGTTCATTCTGTTTAGTAACAACACAAGTACACAGTATTGGCTTAATATGTTTTGAAATAGGTACAGTATGTAATAATTGGCAGTCTTAAAGAAAATTGGGTAGAATCACTATGTTTTCCAATTTTAATATTGTAATTACCTCTCTAGAAACTGAGGCAATGGAAATTTGAAAGTTGTGTGAGAACATGTTATAATAAGTTAATAAGTTAGTGTTGCTGTTGGGTTAGGGGAGGGGTAGGTGCACAGTTGCCCAGAAACTGATATTGATCTGGATTTTGCAAGCTGCTTAATACATGGCAAGTGTTACAGTAAGATTCATAAGTTTAAGCATTGTAACAACAAAACTTTTATTGTAGCCTATCTAACCTTTTCTTCCAGGAGTCCCTTGAGCTCAAGATCGGTTAGATCATCCATTGTAACAAGGGTCGCAGCCTCCTCCAAGGAACCAGTGTTAAGGTATTTAACTACAGCAGAAGATAGGCCTACCAATCCTGGGCCATCATGCTTCAAACTATCTGCCACAAGTTTCCCTGCTACTTGAAAACACCCTGAAGAAACAGCATCTACTCCATAAAAGGGGATTAGATGTCCCTCTTGACCACCAAACAACTGCATATTGAATACAGGATCAACTTTACTCAAGGAACTAATGGCACTGTGAAAGAATTCTTTAGTTGGGCCTCCCAAGTCAGCACCTTGCTCTCCGTGGAAGTTTACATTCACACGTTTCTTTAAGTTAAATTGAGGGTTCTTGTAAATTGTCATTATCTGGCGGAGCATAGACAACTGCATTCTGTTAACATCAATATATGCTGTGCCTTGCTCTGTCTGGCATCTGTAGGACTGCATAATTTCCACAGCTGTGGGTGCATGTGTGGTAATGGATGGCTTGCCTACGAAAGAGACAAATTGTACAATAACTGTCAATAGTATATTGAATTAACATTGCACACTGCAATGATTCCGTTTTGGGCAATCCTTCCAATGAATGCCCTTTTTCTAATAAATTATCCTCCTTGATTTTTGGTCATTGTTGTTGTGTTTTTTTAAGGAACTTCTCTGATTGACATAAATGTGAATACTATTGACTATATTGACTTGGAAGAAAAGAAAACAGTGATATTACGAGTCTATTACCCATACATGTCGTCTATCATTCTAATAATCTCTCAAGGTTGAAGGTACCTGAAGTTTGGGCTTACCAGTTTCAGTAGAGCTACTATCCCTGTCACCAGCATTTGAACCTTACAATTAATCATATGACAAAATATTAATGACCCAAACAGTAAAATATAATTTTGATTGCATACCTGTACAATCAAGTAGACCCATTATAAATCTAGGAGAAATATTTATGTTGCATGTTATGCAACAACTTAAGAAGCTGCATGTCAGGAAAAAAACATTCAGTGAAGTTTGAATGCTACTAGGCCTCAATTTGACAGCTCCATTATTTTACAAACAAAGGAGATGAAATGTTGCAAGCTTTTGACTGCTTATAAGAAATTCAACTAAAATTTCATCCTCTTCAAGGAAAAACATTTTTATAAACATTCACAACAAAATAAGGTGTTATGGGTTCCTAATACTGACCCGATTCCAAAAGTAGATCTATTGCTTCTTCAAGACTACCACCGATGTCCAGAGCTGACTGCAGGTCAGAGCTTGATTTAACAGGAAAAATTCCTTGTAAATCTGCAAGGGCAGTGGGACTGATTGCACTCTTTTCCTGCCATTCTTAAAATGTAAGATATTTAAAGCATGATTACAACCAAGCAACATTTGCATTGCACCTTTTCGTTTTCATCCCCAGGATCATCATGTAAAACATTTTTATATTTGTGCAGTGAGAGAAATCAAATTTAATGCATAAGAAAACATTGAAAAGAAAAAGAGACAATTTCTACAAATAATTATTAGCCCACTGCACCATAGTCATCACACTGATTGTTTTCTGTTCCAGGGGAGGGACAGACCTAGCTGTGTATAATTTACACTTTATTAGAAGAGATTTACAGGTCATGTCTTGTCAGAAATTTCAGCTCACCATCAAACACCAATGCACACAATTCCCTAGTAAGAAGAGTTGTGCAAAACTAGCCACACTGCACTCCACACTTTATTTTCTCAGTTTGCTTTTTATAATGTAGCCAGTGTTGTAGGTTTTAGTGTCACAGGTCTTGTCTTTTATGCAGCATTTCACTGTTCTTTTTATGTACCTGTCTTGATGGGCACAGGGTCTTTATCCTCATCACTTGAGTCATCATTCACAACAGTGGTTACTTTACTTGATCCACTAAAATCCAACATGTCAGGGTCATTTTCACTACTTGTACTTGCACTTGAACTTGATCCACCACCACAATCTTGCATGTGCTGCCTCATTCTTGAAAGCTGAATCTTGATCCCACACTTCACACACATCTCCAATGGGCCAGTGTCAAAAGACTAATACAAACACAGATGACCATAGTGTATCTTAGCCTGTTCTGTTTACTAATAAACAACAATTCAACAGTAGTTCCAAATGCCTTGTCACAAGTCACTCACACTCGCTCTGGTGAAAAATTGAAAAAAAAGTGCTTTTCAGGGAAAACTGGGGACAAGCCCAGAGCAAGCCTGAGGAGGCAGCTAAATGGCAGAGTGACACATACATGTAAGCTCTTCCACTATAACAAGATGTGCTCAAGAACTTTCAAAACAGTAATAAACAATAACATAAAAAAGTAAACAAATTAACAGTAACATCCATCTTGATAGAAAGGCATTTAGTAAAAGTAGAAGACATAAACACACTCTAACCCTCACTGCCAAGCTTAATGTCAATGTATCAAAAGAAGTACATTGGTCAGAATATTGTGGTAAAGAAGAAAACTGGTCATAATGAGTAGAGAACTCACCAATGATGGCTGTCCTGTTTGCTCAAGACTTAAATCTTTTTGAAGGGGTCGAACATAGATTTTAGCTGATGACACCATTTCTTTAAGGTCTAACACATTATGCCCACCATTCCCTTTAGGTTGCAAAATTTCCAATTTGCTGGTTGATCTGAACTTTGTACGCATCAGCTCGTAACCCCCTCCTTCCTTTAGTTTTGGGTAGCTTTCTAACAGCTTTTCATGAAAGTAGCCACACGAGGATTTCTTCTCAAATGTTATCTTCTTCTCTCCAAGTGATGCACCTGACAACTGGGATTTGTAGGCAGTACTTGGGACTTCATTATCACTCATTCGTCTAAGCATACAAATGTATGAGTCCACGTATTGGGTAGCTTAATTCCTGTAGGTAATTTCTTTTTCGTTGAATTCCTGCAGGAGTGAAATTAAATAGCCGCCCTAGCTCGGCTCTGGCATTTTCTGTGGTAAAATGGGATAGTAAAACCAAGTAAGCAATAATATTATTGTCAGTGTATTAATGCAAGAGTGAGTGTCTGGTGGCAGGGTGAAAGGGGGTGTAAATAAATATATAACTATGTTTACTTTGCATACTTTTGCAAGATTATTGTTACTGTTCAGAAGAAACAGTTGAAATAGTAACCCAACAGAGTTCTCAAGAAAATCATTCATCACAGGCTTTTATAGCCACCTGATTTGACCTCTTGCCAGCTGGGATTAACTTGGCTAATTTACAAATATTTACAATGTACTTCAGTGTTTCATTATGTTGGCCCATTGGTGGAGTGGTCAGTTATTTTTTTGTAATTAATAGCATATTAAAACTTAATGTGCAGGGGTTTCAATAAAAGCCGGCTACCAGCGGTCTACCGCCGCCTGTAAGGTTTCTTACCGCCGTCTATTTGGATTTCATTAATGAAGGGCCTTGCAGCCACTTTAGTGGTCACAGCCGCCTATTATATCTTCAATGGCCGCTTATAACTAAAGTTATTGAAACCCCTGAATGTGGCTACTTATTTATTAATAATGTGAACAAGTTCTTGTAATTTTATTATTTAATCATGTTTACCTGCAGCAGGTGCATTTACTGCAGTCCTTAGCTGCTGTTGACCTAAAATAGCATTAAAGAAATAAATTGTTTCATTCATTTTAAAACTGTAGCTCGTGTCTTGTCAATTTATTTGTCGCGTGTTTAAACTGATCCTTGTTAAGTTATCAATTGTTTGTGCTTTTACAATAATAAGTCAAGGTGCTCCCTTGGGTCTAGCTGTAGAGATGAACTAATTTGTATTCAACTTTAGGCTTGTTAGCCCGCATAATTAACTGACTAACGCTAACGGCGCGTAAATTGACAAAACCACAAGCTCGTCAAGCGCTGAGATTTCAATAGTTAGTCGTTTCCTCGAGATGGAACGGAGAAAACGCTTTCGTAATGGTGAGTCAAAATTGAAATAGAGAGTTTTCAGCTCCACTTTTTGTATGTGTGTATGTGTTTTGTTATATATCCGATTTTTAGTGCTAAATAAGAAGACATGTGTTGCTAGGGGATCGCATCTCTTATTCCTATTTTTATAAATAAACTTTCCACTCATTAGGAACAAAAATGGAGTTGGTTTAAGAACCAAAAGAGCTAGGGTTTACTTTAGAACCACCAGTTGTTTTCTATAGAATTTTTATACCCTGTGCAATACTTTTCACAGAGTCAAGTAAACTGTAGACTGACAGTAAACTGTAAACAAGTAGACTGACGTTTTTGCTTGATAGGCAGTTTTTCGCTTCGCTGAGCTTCGACCTCGTTTTCATGTTTTGCCTGAAAAATTAGTACGATTTTGCATTCGCTTAACCTCCTTTTCCCTTCTTTTGAAGTAAAGATTTTTCAGTTAACCTCCGCGTCTTGGTTTTGCTTATAACCGATTTTTAGGGAAAATAATTTAATGATTAAAGATTTTTAATTTAGTATAATCTGCAAAGATAACACGTTCAAAAAATTTGCCCGCTTTTATTTTGAACACATAACAGTTTCCACAATATCCAATAAGAAAACTATCGCAAAAAGCTAATTATATAAAAATCACTTTTCTGTTTATAGATTATGATCTCAACATTTTTTGATGACGTCAACTCCAGAAAATTCTGACGTCACTTGCTCCTTGCCTTCTGAAAATAAACTATGACATAATCCATCTGAAAATAGTTATTCTGACGTCACTTGCTCCTTGCCAGCTAAAAATAAACTATGACATCATGCTATGTTAATGATATGTATGACGTCACCGGCGTTAATGTATTCCCCCGAAAGTTAATGGCATTCCCCCGCAAAGAAAAGGAGTAACCGGTGCCTTATCCACTACTAGTGTTTGTGCTACAGAGGCCAGCTCTCCGGTAGAAGATGTGGTGGAACTAAGGTTTGTTCGTGGTCCATGCCCTGTCCCAGGGACTTGAATTTCGTGACCTGTAAGCGCGATAAAGCGTCAGCCTTGACATTTAGCACCCCAGGCACGTGGACCGCCCGAAATAAAACATTATGTTTCAAACATTGTAAAACTAGTTCACGCAAGAGGACGATTAGCTTGTTATCTTTCGTAGTTTTCTTGTTAATAACATCAACTAGACCTAGATTATCGGTGTGAAAAAGGACGCATTTGTTGGCCAGTTCTGACGCCCATATTGAAAGACTTATAACGATCGGTAACATCTCTAGGACTATAATGTTACGACCTAGCCAGTTTGAAGGCCATTGACCATAAAGCCAGTGCGAGCCGAAAACTGCACCGTAACCTAAAGAACCTGCTGCATCAGTGTAAAGATGTAGTTTGGCTGACGAGAGCCAATTATAGTATAAAAAGAAAGACTTGCCATTGTATGATTCTAAAAAGTTAAGCCATAATTTAAGGTCAGATTTTGTTTCCCGATTTAGACGAATAAAATATCGAGGGCGTTTAACCCCGACTGTCAAGTTAATTAAACGGCGTAAAAAAGTTCGACCGGGCACTATGACAGAACAAGTAAAATTGAGAAGACCAATTAAGGATTGCAGTTGTCTTAAAGTTATCTTTTTCCGACGAAGGAAGTGTTGAATAGAGTCACGAAATTTAGTAAGTTTGTCGCTAGGGAGCCGTGCTTCCATGTTCTGTGTATCAAGCTCAATACCCGCAAATGACAACACGAAGCTAGGGCCTACTGTTTTCTCGGGAGCCATTGGAACGCCCAATTCATCACACGTTTTGAGAAAAACTTACAAATCATTAGCGCACGATGTAAGCGATTTGCTAACGATCAGAAAGTCATCTAACAAATGTAATATGCCGGGTATATGTAACCTAAAGCGAGCAATCCATTCCAGACCGGAACTGAAACACTCAAATATTTTGCAAGAACTGGAAAGCCCCATAGCAAGATTTCTATCAACATAGAATCGATCACGCCAGCAAATCCCCAGCAAACTGTAATCAGAGGGGCTGACTGGAATCGGCCGAAAAGCATTTTTGATATCGGTCTTCGCTAGCGCACAGCCCCTGCCTGTGCGTCGAATTAGCCTGATGGCATCGTCAATACTAGCGTAGTGGACGCTCGAAGCAATTTGCGGGATATGGGAGTTAATTGACTTCCCCTCTGGAAAGGACAAGTGATGAATTAGGCGGAATTCCCCCGGCACCTTTTTAGGAATCAAGCCTAAAGGAGAAACATGAAAGACTGGAAAGGACTGTCCATCGAAAGGACCAACGATTCTTCCTAACTGAATTTCTTTAGCTAATTTTTCGTCTACCACCTTAGGATTAGTGGAGGCTGACAAAAGATTTTTGGATACAAAATTACTGCGATGACCAACATAATCAATAGAAAAACCAAAACGGAAACCTTCGATGACGTATTGCCGAGATCGAGGAGGGTAGCCCTCCAGATAGGCCTGTAATTTATCTATTTTGATTGGCGTTGCCAATGGACGAGACAGTGCTGGAGGTAGGGGCTGAGTTATTTGCGGTGACTGCTGTGGATTTCGGTCGCGGTACAGCTTTGGTGGAGTTTGCCTGTTGCTTGGGAAAGTGGCATTGGTTGGCTGGATGATGAGATCCACATTGAAAGCATTCGTGTTTAAAGTTACAGCCGGAACACTTTTCCCCTCTGTGAAATCTCCAGCAAAAGCCGGACGGAAAGGGCGACCTTGTAGGCCTGTTGCGTGAGTCCGAGGAAACTACCGTAGGGGACTTTTGCATGTGGTGCGCCTGCAACCACAGACTCCAATGGATCTGGTCCCAGGGGAAAAGAGTTTTTTGCCTCAAAAAGCGAAAGTTTTCATCGTAATAACGCCAATGGGCGTTCTTAGCCGCTAGGTCCCGCACTGTCTCGGAATATTTCATTAAAGCTGGGGCGTCGGTCGGTGATCGGACGGTATAAATAGCTACAAATGTTTGAAAGGCTGATATCCATTGGTCTATATTGGCAATTCTCTTAGGTTTCTGTGCTGGCTCGAGGGTAATGACCGGCCGATCTGAAGAGTGTTGCGTTTGAACAACAAAATTGTACTGTGACTGGTTTTGGGATGCTATTTGCAATAGGGTCCCTAAATCAATATACTCGTTTGCCCAAATTTTGTATTGAATTTTATCAGACACCCTGGAGGCGAGAGCTACAGCGATTTGTTGATGAATCAGCTGGGGCCGGTCATTAGACTGAGCTATGCTATTTATTGATAGCGGGCTGGTACTTATAGTCGACGGGTTCGTAGGAGGAGGTCTCTCACCGGTAATGTCCTGGATTACGGCCGCTACTGACCCCTGTACAGCAGCAGCCGGAGTGGCGTTCGAACCATCTGTCTCCTTCTGAGCTTGAGGGAGTATGCCGGCTGCTTGAAGTCCTCCTAGCACAGCTTCTGAGACTATGGCAGCGATGTCCACCGGGGCAGGGGCTGCGTCGTTGCCGGCAATTGGAACAGTGACCAATTGGGAGGGATGTTCCGAGGCGGGTGGACGGCTGTGCGTATTAGAAACTGTTGCCCGGGTAGCTGATTTTGACCTCTTTGCTTTGTGAGATTCTCGCGTGGTCGGGGCAGCATGCTTCTGTGGGCGTGGTGCAGGAGGTACGGTAGGGGCAGCACGAGATTGCCGACGAGTCATCATATTGACTGGAAAACAAAAACAGCCTATGTGTAGCAAGGAAAGTAACCCGTGGATGCGAACCAGAAAAATTGCGGGTATGTGCGCGTTGGCTAAAGAAACCGCTTATGCCCAGCAGGTCCATACCCCACTTTTGATCACGTAACAAAACAGAAGAAAAACGAAAAGTAAATAAAATTAAATAAAAAATTAATAATAGAAAGAACGGTTCCAGCGAACCGTAATATATAAGAAAAACGGCAACATGTTTGGCAAGCCCAAATAATGATAGCTGCCGCAAAGCTTGGGAACTCATAGAGTTCTCAGTAAACATATACAAACTGTCTATTTAGACATGTAAGAAAAAAGAAAGTGTGGGTGTAAAAAAGGACCTAATTTAAGCTGGGAGCGCGACCCGCTGCGGGAAGGCAACTGAGCTTAATAGCGGATAGAATAGCGCCCCTGTAACTCCGATAGAGAGCATATTGCCCTTTGGCATTAAGATGTACCCCGTCTCTGCATAAAATGCGAACGGTGAGTTTTCGAAGTCCTTTGTGACGCCAGAAAACAGCAAAAGGTAGGGTCTCCAGCACCACGCTGAGATATTTGTTGAGTAGGGCCACACGATCGTTGAAAGAGGGTGGATCCCTCAAACCTGGCGGTTAATGGTCTGACAAACTACTATTGTTTCAACTCGGCATTCAGCGTGTAAACGCTGAACGAGGGTCTCGATCTTCGAACCTACCACCTCGGGCCTAGTGTCCGGTGGGGAAAGGTCGTTGGAACCTAACTCCAAAATCACAATTTGGGGTTGTAGGCGCCTTACTAAATGTAAATCAAATTTAGATAGCTTGTCGACAGTGTGACCGCCAACTCCGAGAAAAGTTATCTGCGCGGAACGGGACAAGTTAAGATCCCGTCGTACCCTTGCGTCTACGCCTTTAGACAAAAATAATTCAAAACGACAGACAAAGGAGTGGCCCATAATAAGAACATGGGGTTTAGGAGACATGACTAACTTAAAAAACAACAAGAAAGATGTACTCAACTCTGGAAGTGAAGGATGGAGGTGGGCGGCTGTCAAGTTCGCAAAGCTTGTTACGTCTGGAGACCAAGAGGAAGACTTCGGGGAAAACAGCTTGTCTTATACCCTAACATTAAATCAGGTAGAGGCTCAGTACTTTTCCGAACGAGCTCGTGACTAGTAGTTTTACAGCAAGTAATATTCCGGCAAGTAATTTACCAGCTAGTGATTTCCCGGCTAGTAATTTTCCGATTGATCTCGTGATAATCGTGTGATCAATACTTGACTATTTTGTGTCAAATTGGGCCCTGCTCACAGTTCTTCCCTGCCGATTACCTATGTTAAAGGTGAATGCATGACTAGTAATAAGTACCCCTCTAAGCAAACTAACATAATCATTGCGTGACCAGGTGACATAAACATTTTTATTTGCAGGCAAATAAATTCCTTTTTGCCAACTCCCAAAGAAAAACGAAACCCGGCTAAATGAGGGAACTTAAATACACGACCGAAAGATATGAAACACGATACCTTAAAAGCTGGAGCGTTAGGGTGGCCTCCGCCATCATTTGGAGCATTGACAACTTGTTGGACCAGAACTTGATCCTCGGCCTGTCCAGGCTGATTACCAGCCGCCTCCGCTACAGCCAAAGCAACCTGCTCTGCAGCAGGTGGGCGAACAACTTGCTCGTTTGCGTTCGCTGCCATCTTTAGTGAGTAAGTTGGGTTCCACTACCTTTGACGCCAAACACCCTTCTTGTCGGACACAGTGAAGTGAATGGGACAAAGCGTGCTGGTGTTTCCTATTATATACACTCATTTGCTTATCATTAATTAATCCCCAGGAATGATATTTAACATTCAGATGGAATGTGAATAGGAACTGCGTAAACGTTGACATACAAGCATGTTTCCCTGCACACAAAGTTAAAGCAAATCACATAATTGTATCTGGCCTGTTTCGGATCCAAATGCTTTTATCTTCAATGTCTCTTGATTGATACACTGCAGTTGGCAGCTGAAGATCATTTCTCATACATAGTTCGGCTGGGCTAAATCCGTTTTCAAGTGTCAGGAGGTTTTTAGTTGTTTGCACCATAAGTCCGACTTCTCCATTGCTTTGGGGGTATTTTGGACTTCATATAATGTGTGTAAATTCCCAGTCTTCTGCGAAGTAATTGAATTCTGCTGAGGAATAATGTGCGCCGTTATCGGAGATCATGGTTTCTGGAATTCGCTTCTTGGTGATTGATCACTTTTTTAAAGGTGGATTTTCGAAGTACTCTAATTTCACAATATCACAAAAAGTAATCTACCATGAGGATGAATTCTTGTCTTCTTCATTTGAATAGATCAATTCCTACTTTTTGGAATGGACGCTCGGGTAACTGTGAAGAAATCATGGGCTCTGCACGATTAGCTTTCGTCTTAATGCAAGTAGGGCATTCCCTGACAAGGTTTTCTATCTGCTTGCTGACGTTCGGCCACCATACACCACTTTTTGCCCTTTCACGGTATTTCTGGATACCTTGGTGACCTGTGTGTATCTTGTCTGATACATCAAGCCTTAAAGCTAAGGGAATGATGGCTCTGTCCTCTTTCATTAAGGCGGATTTAGACGGCACGATTTTTGCTTACAACTATCGTGCGCGATTAGCATACATCATGACTTTTGACCATCCACAAGCACACGATTTTCACTTACGACATCCTAACAAAATATTGCAAGCAATGTTGCGAAAATGGCCGACATCAGGATCGTGTCGACCATGGCTGTTAACGTTTTATGTAAAAAAAGAAGGAAGAAATAAAGGGAAAGGGAAGTTTGGGAACGGGATTGGCTATAAAGAAGATGGGGAAAAGGTGCATTTAGACACTTGATGGCGGAGTTGAGGCTAGAGGATGAAGAGAGTTACAGAAAGTATATGCGGATGAACACTGTGTCATTTGCGGTAAAAAATTTTTCCATATTGTTATGACTTCAACAATTCTTGGGCGAGAGCTGATACTTGATTTAAAATATATTAAATGACGTCCACGAGTGTGAAATGAAATCAGCTCACAACAAACTAGCAGAAAGTAGTGTATCCGTCTGAAGCACACGATTTGAAGCAGGAAAATGATCCATTCTCAAATTATACATAGGTAGTTAGCAGTTCAGGAGACTACCATCTTATCAAAAGTTATCACGCTGTTGCTCGATAGAGTTCAAATTAACCTTTAAATTATCTTATCAAACTTATAATTCCTTTGAACACAACATGAAACGCAGTGACCATCAGGGTTTGGTAAGCTGAGTGCGAAAGCTCGCACACTTTCGTTTACAAAAGTGTTCTTTTCAAGCTCACCCCTCAACCCAGAAATATCAGTCTTCCCTGACTGTATTATTCAAGGTTGTACATTGTCCTATCTCACTATGAAGTAAGCTAAACACAAAAAGGTCATCGTTTGTGATTTGTGATTGGTGCATTTCTATCCGTTTTGCGACTTTCTGTGTTTCAGGGTTCGTTGCTTGGTGATAAACGGCAGCGAAAAACATAATTGTGAAGGCAGCTTTTTAGCTTCAGAGGTCGCGTGAACAGAGTACATACCGCAATGGTTTACCCAACAAAACCATCAACGTGACAACACACAGTGTTTGAATCATAAATGTTATCTCTACTTTACCCACAAACGTGTCTTTTACGCTCGCGAGCAAAGTACCGACCAAGCATAAGCCAATTTCTTTTAAGTTTATTCAGCAGCTCCTAAATGTATTTGTTCTCTTTCTTTTAATTTTACTAGACTGCAAGTCACAAAATGTTTCCGAAACATATCCTTACGCTCTTCACATCTCAAAACAATTTTTGATAGATTTCAACCCAGACTTCAGACTTCCGAAATTCAATGAGGTATTAGAAATTACTGAAATTTAAGATTAACTTTTGAGATCATAAAATCGCCATAAAGTGGTGTTCTTGAGAACAGTGACAACAGTGATAACACTGACACCAGTGACAACACTGACAACAGTAAAAACAGTAATAACAGTAACAACGGCGACAATAGCGAAAATGATGACAACAGCAACAACGATGACAACAGTGACAACTGCGACAATGACAACAGTGACAACAGCGACAACAGCGACAGCAGCGACAGCAGTGACAACAGTGACAACAGTGACAACGGTGACAACTGCGACAATGGAGACAAAAGTGACAGCAACAACGACAACGGTGACAACAGTGACAATGGTCACAACCGCAAAAATGATGACAACGGTGACAACAGCGACAACGGCGACAACAGTGACAACAGTGCCAACGGTGACAATGGAGACAAGCGAAAACTGTCAAAACGGAGACAACAGCGACAACGGTGACAACAGTGACCGTAGTGACAACAGTGACCGTAGTGACAACAGTGACAACGGTGACAAGGGTCACAACGATGACAACAGTGAAAAAAGTGAGAACGGTGACAACAGTGACAACCGTGACAAGGGTGACAACAGTGACAACAGTACCAACAGTGACAACAGTGACAACAGTGACAACGGTGACAACTGTGACAATGGTGACAACGGTGACAACAGTGACAACGGTGATAACGGTGACAACGGTGACGACAGTGACAATGCTGACAACAGTGACAACAGTGATAACGGTGACAACAGTTGCAACGGTGACAATGGTGACAACAGTCACAACAGTGAGAACGGTCACAACGGTCACAACGGTGACAACAGTGACAACGGGGAAAACATTGAAACCAGTGACAACAGTGATAACGGTGACAACAGTGGCAACGGTGACAATGGTGACAACAGTCACAACAGTGAGAACGGTCACAACGGTCACAACGGTGACAACAGTGACAACGGGGAAAACATTGAAACCAGTGACAACAGTGACAACAGTGATAACGGTGACAACAGTGACAACGGTGACAATGGTGACAACGGTGACAACAGTGACAACAGTGACAACGGTGACAACAGTGACAACAGTGACAACATTGACAACACTGACAACACTGACAACGGTGACAACGGTGACAACAGTGACAACAGTGACAACGGTGACAACAGTGACAACGGCGACAACAGTGACAACGCTGAAAAAAGTGACAACAGTGACAACAGTGACAACGGTGAAAACAGTGACAACAGTGACTACGGTGACAACGGTGAAAACGGTGACAACAGTGACAATAGTGACAACAGTGACCACGGTGACGACCATGACAACAGTGACAACGGTGAAAAAGTGACAACAGTGACAACTGTGACAACGGTGACAACTATGACAACAGTGACCACGGTGACGACCATGACAACAGTGACAACGGTGACAACAGTGACAACAGTGACAACAGTGACAACTGTGACAACGGTGACAACAGTGACAACAGTGACTACGGTGACAACAGGGACACCGATGACAACGGTGACTATAGTGACAAAAGTGACAACGGTGCCAACGGTGACAATGGAAACAAAAGCGAAAACAGTCAAAACAGAGACAACAGCGACAACAGTGACAACGGTGACAACAGTGACAACTGACCGTAGTGACAACAGTGACAAGAGTCACAACAATGACAACAGTGACAACAGTGGGAACAGTGAAAACAGTGACAACAGTGACAACGGTGACAACAGTGACAACAGTGACAACAGTGACAGTCGTGACAGTGTTGACAAAAGTAACAACAGTGACAACGGTGACAACAGTGACAACGGTGACAACAGTGACGACACTGACAACAGTGACAATGGTGACAACAGTGACAATGGTGACATCGGTGACAACAGTGACAACGGTGACATCGGTGACAACGGTGCAAACAGTGACAGTCGTGACAATGTTGACAAAAGTGACAACGGTGACAACAGAGACAAAAGTGACAACGGTGACAACGGTGACAACGGTGACAACGGTGACAACGTTGACAACGGTGACAACGGTTACAAAAGTGACAACGATGACAACTGTGACAATGACTATGGTGAAAACAGTGACAACCGTGACAACGGTGACAATGCTGACAACAATGACAACAGTGACAACTGACAACAGTGAAAACAGCGACAACGGTAACAACAGTGACTACGGTGACAACAGTGACAACGGTGACAACAGTGACCACGGTGACAACTGTGACAACAGTGACAACGGTGACAACGGTGACAACAGTGAGAACAGTGACTACGGTGACAACAGTGACAACAGTGACAAATGTGACAATGGTGACAAAAGTGACAACAGTGACAACGGTGACAACCGTGACAACGGTCAGAAATGTGACAACAGTGACAACCGTGACAACGGTGACAATGGTGACAATGGTGACAACAGTGATCGTTTCCCAAATTTCTGTTCCCTCTGAATTTTTGAATTTTAAATCTCACGTTGAGCGTTGTCAACCTGTTTAGAGAGCGATCTTTTTGGACAGAGATGATGGGCCAAATACTTTACAGTGCATTTACTTTTCTTAGAGTGTACTTGTTGAATATAAGGTGATTAATGTGATCGATATCCTTGAAACTCGGAAAAGAAGAAAAAAGGTCCAAAACATTCTCTCTTGACAAAACCTCCCCTATTCTAAAGGGAACTTTTAGAAAACAGACAAATCCGTCAATGCCGCCCAATTTAGAGAAAAAGCATTTCTGCCGAGCAGCATACCTCTACAAAGAGAATACATGGATATGATACATATAAGATACTTTGAATCAAGAAAGGAAGTGTTAAGTCATTTATATTCTAAACATCCCTGAAATTTGTAAAATCCGCCGAACGTTAGAAAAAGATGCTAGCCACAACTTAAAACTGGACGTTTAAAGCGACTAAGAAAATTGTGGTTGCGGTGGATATCACGGATTGTGCGGAAATTGTTGCCAGATCAGTTCAAGGCCAGCAAGAATAATTGTGTGAGGGTGGATTACACGGATTTGACGGAAACTTGTGTCGTTTCATACTCCTTTTTTAAAATATTAACTATTGAAGAGAAGAATATGTCAATATATCATGTATTAGATACTTACAGTTAAAAAAAGAAGTATTTTAAAATCATGTCTATTCTTAATCAATATCTGTGAAATCCGTCGAATCCGCCGTATTTTAGAAAAAGATATCAGCCGGTCAGCTGCAACTTTAAACTGGAAGTTCAAAGCAGATAAAAAAGATTGCAAGAAATTTTTGGTTAGGGTGGATTTCCCCGATTTTACAAAACCTTGTGTCATTTAATACTCATTTTTTCAAACTTTAACTATTGAACAGAAGAATATGTTAATATATCATGTATTAGAAACTTACAGTTTAAAAAGGAAGTATTTTAACATCATGTCTATTCTTCATCGATATCCGCGAGATCCGTCGAATCCGCCGTATTTTAGAAAAAAGATATTAACTAGTCAACTGCAACTTAGAACTGGAAGTTCAAAGATCAGCCAAAAAATCTGTGCTACGAGTGGATTTCACGGATTTTGCGTATAAATGTTCTATAACAACTTGACTTAACCCTATCACTCTTAAGATTGAAAAGCTCATTTCTTTTTTGACAGTTTGGAAGTGTAATTAAGATGTTATATGAAGACCACATATCCTCGTCGATTGTTTTCTTAATTCTCATAACCTGTCTCCTTGAGATTGTGTTAAAATGATGAAGAGAATTCAAATCAATGCTGGTCCCCCTTAGGAAAGGCAGGGTTAAAACGGTTCTTTTACAGAGCAGATGTATAAAAATGTAAACAACATTTATCTATCACTTCAAAGTTAAAATTCAGTTGGTGAACTAGCGCATTGTCAGAGAGTAGACGTTCTTGCTGCACCCCAAAACAGGTACATAAGGCAGATTTAATGGCATTTGCGGACAAAACAACCCTCCATTTAGCGATTTACATAAGTGAACAAATTGTAATTGTCAACCTTTTTCTCATGAAATAGCACAATTAACAAATTTCGCACAAAGCAATCAATGCATTTGTTTCTTGAATTGATGCTCAATGACATCAATAAACAAGTTGAAATAAATATGAAATTCAACTTGGCCCGCTTCAAAAGTCATCGGCTGCTAATTGCTACCCATTATCACGGAAAATAATGGAACCAATGTCTCATGGAGGCTACTAAACAACATCATCACCACTTGGTTCAATAGTTTGTGTTTCCCATTGTGATATACTTCACAGCTATGAAAAACAAGCTTAAACTTGACCTTGGATACTTCAAACCCTTTTCTGCAGTAATTAGGCTTCTTTGTTGCGATCAGAAAGCGACACCGGAAAATGATCCGCACTAATGTAGCATGGACATGTCAATTTGTTATCAAATCCTTTCATACTCTACTTGTATATCCCTTGGGGTAGTGGCAACACTGGAACTTGATTAAGAAGGTTACAACTGCGAACCCCCAATTAAACACTTCTGTATGTTTCCATTGACTTTGAAATTTATTCCTCGTGACTATCACAAATTGATTTCGTATAAGACCGGAGCCTGTTCTGGACAGAAATCACTCCCAACATGAACAAGACGAAGTATCCTTGTCGTCAGTTAAACAGCAAGGCCATACAAAGTGCAGCATTATGCTTTGTGAGCCCCATAATCGTTGGAAAGTGTAGTATTGTAAAAGCGCAATGCGTATGCAAAATCGACGAAGGAGGACTACAGAAAGCCTGGAATGACGTCTGTAGAACTAGAGACGCTTGTGATAAGGCCATTTGTGGTAAGAATCTTCTCTTTTCAATGTACTATGTTGCTTTTCGCGATTATAGAAGTTCTTTTTGCTTAAGAACGATGTTTATATCTCTTTCACAGGGGTGAGAAATGTAGCATTTTTCTTTGGAGCAATCAGTGCGCAAGGCCCCAAAAAAAGCCGAGGAAAAAAAGCAGCAACTTTGGAAGGGTACGAAAGCGAGGAAAGCAACAATGAAACATTGACATCAAGTCAAGTTGCAAGTACGGCCAGTCAAAACTGGATTACTGATTATCCGACCATCGTCAATGAAAAGTTATGCCCATGCATCAATTACTGGATAGCCTTAACGACGCCAAATGGTGCCCCGGCCAACCCCCTTGTAATCCACCGAGCGCTCTTGGAATGCGACGTGGAGACTGTGGCACAACAGGTATTAATCGTAAATGTTCAATTACACATCTTTTCTTCAGTGTATTTCATGAACCAATTTATACCATCATATTTGAGACTTGAGCTTTTTTTCTGTCCGTTTTTAATAACTTATCACTAAAAACCATTTGAAAACCAACGTAACAACATACACGGAGAAAACATCTTGAGAAAAGGGATATCCATCTCATGATAAAGTTGGAAAATTCGTAGTCATTATTCAATATTTACACACATTCAAAAATACAAAATAAGCAGACTCAAGTTTTTCAACAGTGCCACTGTTCTGTTCTGTTCCCAGGTGCCCTGTTATGAAGGAAAAGAATCGGCGGCTATGAAAGAACTGTTCAGGGTATTGAAAGATCATAAAAACCAAATGATCCAGGAACTAGTGAACGCTTCGTACGGAAATTGCTTCCGGAATGAAATGGACAGCTTGCTGAGCGAAGAAGATTTTATGGACACACAAGACTGTGGGACAGAGAAGGTGGCTAGAGTTTGGCTCACAAATTCGTGCTTCGGGTCTACTTTGAAACGTTCAATCACCAAGCTTCAAGATGCAAAGTTGCAGATCGATATGTTTGGCTTTCACGCGGACAATCCACAGAGTGGAGATGAAGAAACACGACTTTCGGATAAACTGACTGTGCTCGTGAACGACATAGGACTGGCAATGAAAAAGATGGAGTACGCCCTCTTTCGCGGAAAAATGTACAAGAAAGTTCCATCGGCCAAGTACACTTTCGCTTACAAATGCGAAGTTCGCGTTTTCATCAATAGCCTTGCAGCGAACGAGTTCTTTAAAGCACGACTGCTAAAGGACAGGAGAAAGATAATCGACATCCTTTCCGACCCAGACTGCGAGGTGATACGTCCGATCTCCATCGACTACAATCTCATCGAGGTAGATGGTGGACACTGCTGGTCCATCAAAGAAAGGCGCTTTGTTAATAACCCTATTGCAGATGAGAAGATGGGCGTCATTTCACCGCGGGCGTTTACCAGGTACGATCCAGACAAAGAGCCCGACCCAAAATACTTCAAGGAGATTTTGGAGAACAGCCTCTCACAAGCGCAAATACGTGAATTTTGCGAGGATTTCCTCAAGCTGCTCAACTTCAACAAGAAATGCCACAAGGATAAAGTTCCCTGTCTAATTGGTGATGCAAACAGTGGCAAAACGAGCCTTTTCCATCCCATTCTCGGGATCGTGCACCACACAAATATTGCAACAATCACCAAGCAGAGGGTATTCAACAAGGCCATGATCTCGAAATCCACCGAAGTGATCTTTATTGACGAGGCTTCCACGTCAACTATGGACATTGACGATTGGAAGATCTTGACCCAGGGAGGCTACACCGCATGCGATGTGAAGTATCAAACAGCAAAGTCCTTCATCAATCGCTGCCCCGTGCTCTTGACAGCACAAACCAAATTGCAGTTCAAACCTGAAGACCAGCCCGCGATGGATCGTAGACTTCGAAACTACAGCTTCAAAAGTCTCCCGGCTCCCAAGAAAAGCGCCACGGCATGGCTGCGAAGACATCCGATGGAGTGCATCGTGTGGGCTGCAGCGCAAGCCAGGGCATGCATGACATCAGATTCAGAGGACGAGCTAAGTGATGAGGAAAGCGCAGATGACGGAGTATTGGCAGCGACAGACAAGGAACAGATTCGCGCGTTGTGCATGGACGAGGTACTGGACGAACGTGATGGTTCACCTGTCGAAGTGAGTGTGCAGGGTGCAACGGACGAGACTGATGATGATTCGGACGCGAGTAGTCAGAATGACCAGACCATCAGTGCATTGAGACGAGTTATGGAGCAGTGCTCTCAGACGTCCCTCCGACACCGCCAAGTTTCAGCCATGTTGCAAGCGCGACTCAGCGAGCGAGACAGACAGAGGCAGGCAGAGGAAGCGGTGTACCGACGCAGACAGGAAAATCTCTTGTCGAAAGGAGTCGCACGCGAACATGTGGCCCTACTTCCAAGGGATACATCGGAACCCATGCCCACACAAATTGAAAATGATCTGACAGCCTTCAGGCAGCAGACTCTCCAAGAAGACTTGAAGAGAAAGCGAGAAAGAGCACTTGCCGCCTTCCAAACACCCTGGCTACTAGAAATGGAGCAAGAACTACACAAGCTGACCAGGACCCTAGAGATGTCAGACATGAATCAGGAGAGAAGGACGTCTATGGAGGCCTATCGCGAGGTCTTGCAAGATAAGCTGAGGCAGTTTCACGAGAACTATGGTA